AAAGATATAATATTTACAAAATGTGAGGGGTGTACTCACTTCTGTGATATACTGTAAAGCCCTTGGCACCTTCAGGAGTGAGTTCCTTGGAACTCTGGGGATTTCTTGCTTTCCATGCAGCCCAGCTCATCAGCAGGAATGTGCTGTGGGGAAATGCTGTTTCATTACAGCTGTTAGCAGCACCGGGACAGTGATCTTTCTGGGAGCTGGCAGAAGTGAAGGTCTCCTCAACCACAAGGAACACCCCTCCGAGATCACTTGGGGTTCAGGAAGGTTGGTACAGAAGAGAAACTCTATAGTTTGCTTCCCCAACCCTCAAAGGGAACCCAGGTTCATTTGTGTGGCATGTTTCAGTTGCTATTTTTAGCATGTGTGTATGGACGTTTTGGCTTTCTTTTTGTGACTCCCTGAGAATCACCTGTTTGACTTCTGTGAAATGAGCATTTTGTTGTCACTTCATGAGGTTAACCCATGTTTCAGCAAGAGCTCATGGTTCAGCCACAGCCTCGTTTGGTAGTTGGGATAGAGACAATCAAATCATTAATGGGTAGACAGATGTGTACAAATAAATCAGTGTATCTATGCATGTTCAGAAATGCTTATGTCTGAATTCACCTGCACTGAATTCACCTGCACTGGAGGTCCAACAAAAACAGCATGCGGAGGCCAGAGTACTAATGGACTCATTGCTGCTCAGCTTCCTTGCATGAGAGCAAAATGACTGCATAATGCTAGATTCTTACAACCATCTATCTGAACAGGCATGCAGGGAATATGAATACACATTTGGTGTACTATGTGAATATTCTTAGACATGATCAATACATGTTCAATATATCACACATGATCCTTTTGCTACCACATAGGTAAGTGCAGCAGCCCCAATCCACATACTAAAGGTACTAATTACCTTTAGTATGTGGAAATCAAGCTCAGGCAGTGGAACCCTTGTGTTTCATTTCTGCTTTAGGAAAGGCAGTGAGGCTATGCCATTCCATCCTCCTGAATTCCATGAAGATGAACCATATGTTATCTTAAATCTGCAACTAAATTCCTGCCCTGATTGCTTACTCAAAAGTAAATACAGTGGGACCTTGGTTCACTAACGCCTCAGTTCACGACCAAATTGGGTCACGAACAAAAATTTCATAAAAATTTTGACTCAGGTTGTGAACTCAGCATTGGGTGGCAACTGCGATCATGGCCATCCCCACCACCCGAGTGGGGGCAGGGGGGGAGATGACCGAGATCACGACCATCTTTCCTATAGGCGCATGCCCGGGATTGCACCTGTCTTTCCTGCACGAGCACAATCACAATCTCGGCCATCCCCCCCCCCCCCGCACGCCCACATTCGCACCCGTCTCTCTCCCCCAGCGAGCACACGTTCGTCTCTCCCCCCACCCAAGCGCGCCTGCACTCATGCCTATCTTCCCCCCCCCCCAGCGCTCCGGGATGATGGGCGTAATTGTGCTGGGGGGGTGTGGAGATGGCCAGGCTCATGCTTGGGGTGAAGGAGGAAGATGGCCGAGATCTTTGTTGTTCTTTGTCACGTTGCTTCTTCATATTTTTCTGATTAAAAAATAAGTAGTGGCAGAACAGACTGACCTTATTTACATTGAACCTTATGGGGAAATTTAACTTGGCTCACGACCAATTTGGGTCATGACCAGAGTCCTGAAATGGATTAAGTTCATGAGCCAAGGTACCATTGTACATGGAACCCATTATGAATCAGCACCCTAGTGGAGGAAGCATTGATTCTTTGCACCATGCCGTCAATTTACTTTTTATTGATTTTTATTGTGCATTACAAGACCATAACCAAAGTGATTGAGAAAAAAGATAAAGAACTAAAACATTGCAATTTACATGACAACTGAACAACCTTTCAGCAATATAAACTGGAGGTGTGGAAAGTCTGATCAGGGGGAATATGGTTAAGCTGCCCTACATCAGTGTACAAATCCTCAGTGCTACACAGCAAAGCATCTAAAATTCATCTTTTTCACTAAGCAGCTTCACAGACACCTCTCTCCAAAGTTTTTCAAAAGTAACAGCAAAAAATAAGAATCCAGGAAAACATTCCAGCAAGTGCATCTCAGGTTACACATAAGGACTGGATTGCTACAGAGTAATTGCCAAGGCAAGATATTATCTACCCTTTCCTGCAAAACCCAAATGGGGATGCTCACAGTGAGGAACAAAATAGGAATGCAACATTCCTGTCCTCTGGTTGTTGCTTTAGCACATGGGTCCTCAAACTAAGGCCCACTGGCCGGATTCAGCCCACCTTGTCCATTTAACTGGCCCGCCCCAAAGGTTTTGCACTCGCTGTGTGCTTGAGCAGTGCGCGGTTTGCTCGCAAGGAGGTTGTTTTGGACTCGCTCGGAGAAAACGATCTCCTCATGAGCAAGCCAGCATTTTGCCCTGCGCCCCCCCCCGTCCCCACCTCACCTTGTGTCCGCACGCACGCACGCGCACGCACCCCACCCCCTCACCAGCATCCCCCCCACCGCCAGCACCGCCTTGGCAGCCTGCACCCACCGCTGGCACCTGTCAACTGGCCTCCTGTTGAAAAAGTTTGAGGACGCCTGCTTTAGCATTACAGTCACCTCTGAGAGAGAGTGCTGGGCTAGTCCAGCCTTACAGCATTCAGCATTCTGAATTGCAACATTTTTCCCGGGGGGGTAGAATGGCAAGGAGCTGAAGCAATCAGTTATTACTCAGAGGATGTACAGCAAGAGGGTGGGCCTTTAAGTATTACAGGGCCCTCATCACTGCCTCTCATGGTAAGGAAAATATCATGATTCAAATGGCCCGCCGTTTGGGGGGGGGGGGAGGGCTATTTTGCATTTTTTAATTTCATTTTAGCAGCCACAGTGAGGAAAGCTGTACATAAAAATAAGTCAGAACAAGCAATTTACACTATTCCTTAACTAAGTTTCTATCAGATATTCATTCCAACAAGGGTGCAAAAAATCATTTCCTAGGAACAGAGAACTACAAACTCCAGGAAGAAAACCCATGTAAACCTCTCATGTAGAGAGGCTCATAGATTCATGCTTTGTAGATTCTGATCTTCCAGATGAGGGGTCTTTTTGCAATCGCTCTGCCTCATTCACAGGATTTTACTAGTTATCTGCACAATGTATTTTCATTTGTAATATTTCCCACCATTTCTTCAATCTTTTGTTATCCCCAAAAATTAGTGTGGAGGAAAAAGTAGAATATTGCACAATCACTTTTGCCTGTTAGAATGACAAGGAAGGCTGCCTTCCAAAAAAGACAGTTGAGGTTTCTTTGGATGTACAGATTCTATTCATCATTCCCCGAGAAAAAGATGTCCTAGGAGTGACTAAGTATGCAGTAATCAAGGCAACAGAGGTAACGGCATTGGATGCAGCTCAAGTCCTATTCCACTGGTGGGAAAGTACATACACCAATGCAAGCCCCTTCTGCCAAACACCCACGGAAAGGGGTGAGGTCCTGATATCCTACCAATAGTGTTCTGGTGATGGTGAAAAATGGGACATGTCCAAGATCTCCACGATCATAAGAGAGGTCCCTCTCCCCAAGATGCCCTTAATTACACCAACCCTGAAGTCAGAGCAGGTAATTCTCCACCACTAACTGTAACAGTGGAGGGCAAAGAAAAAAGAGAAAGCAGAAAGACACACAACCATACAATTTAGATAAAGTCATCATGCTCTTCTCCCAAGCTGCAGCAAAAGGGTGGGGCTTAGGAAATGGCACAACTCCGCCAGGGAATCTCCTATCATCCACAGGAATACTTTGGCCACCTGCACTTCTATGCAGAAGGGATGGACAACATGTGACCATGTAGATGTGTTTGCCTACAGCTTCTATGATCCTTCATTGCTGGCCATGCTGCTCAGGGTTGATGGGCGCTGTAGGCTAAAACATCTGGCAGGCTAGAAGTTGGAAACCTCTACAATATAACAATTGTTATATTGTTATAACCCAGGAGTAAAACTGAATTCAATGAGACACTTTGCACATTAAGTGTGCTGTTTTGGAGAGGTTCTGGGGAAGCTTTGTTTCCCTAATTCAAAATGCATGAGCACTAGAGAATATAGTGACACAAAAGGTATTTTGTGAATTTTCAGCTACAGTCTGAATTAAAACCTTGTTTATGATGATTTGAAGCCATTTGTTATGCAGATCACAGGTAACAGGTCAAGCACTGTTATGTGGATTTTATTATATATTGTTTCTTGAAAGATTAAATCTTGAATTGCCTGTACTAACTTAAATCTGAAATCCATTCTTATGCTGATTCAAACTTCATGGTGGGGGTACACTCAACAAACAAAGGCCTTTCATATTCAGTATCTGCCTTGGGTGGGATCATAAAATGACCCCAAATGTGGCTAATGCTAGGTTTGAAGCTGATGCAGGAAGAAGGATTAAAAGCTTGATCCTATGCAAATTCAGACAAGAAAAGAAAAAGGCTGCAACTCTCAGCATGACCCAGTTGTGCTTTTCTTCTGTCTAAACGTGCATGGGATTGCAACTTCAAAGGAATCATAACACTGTCAGGGTGTGGAAAAGATTATCTTAACCAACAGTTACCACACAAACGTGCCCGTTAGTAAGAGAATGATGGATGGTACCCTGCCCTCCTTCTGAGAACACACACACACACACACACATGAAAAGTTGTTTTGGTCTTTGAAAAAAAGATCCATATATGAATAAAGCAAGGCATTAATAAAGGTACCAAAAATAACAAGCTAAGGCCCTACCTTAGGCCACCATCTTATGCTCATTTTTTAACAGAAGCACATGCATAGGACTGCAGCGCTGACTTTTTAAAATTATCCAGCTCTTAGAATATTTTCTTTTACTGTGTTAACTCTTTTTAAAGTGTTGTTAGCCAATAAACTGCTAGAGAAGCCTGAAAAAAGGAACGAGACACAAGAAAAACGGAGAGCAGAGGGAACAGCCCAACGTGCAGCGGAGACCGGTCCACTAACCGCACTTCCCCCGTCCTCTGCTTGGCATTTACATACGGAATTGTTCTGCGAAACCCCAGAGTTCGCCCGCCGCTTTTCTTGCGTCCTCCTCCCAGCCTGGGGCGACCAGAGTCTCAGCTCCTCCCGTCGTGGCAGAGCCAGAGGCCTATCAACGTCAGAGCGGATCCACAGGACAGGCGCGCCGCCACTCCTCCCGTCTCGCCGCACCCGCGAAGGCTCCCCGCCCCGCCCGTCGCGGCGGCTGCGAGAGAAACGAGAGGCAAATCGCGCGCAAAGGCAAACTCGGCCCAAGCAACCCTGGGGAAAAAAAGGACGGCGAAGTGAGCGGAGCCAATAACTGCCAGGCAGCAGGGTGAGCCGCCAATGGGACAGGAGGATCATAGAGATAGGACAAGTGAGAACTGAAAATGATCACCATCCAATCTAAGCCTACAGTTCTAAAGACGAAGGGACACTTGTTAGTCGCGAAGTCGTGTCCGACCCATCGCGACCCCATGGACAACGTTCCTCCAGGCCTTCCTGTTCTCCACCATCCCCCGGAGTCCACTCAAGCTCACACCAACTGCTTCAGGGACTCCATCTAGCCATGTCATCCTCTACCTTCTCCTTCTTCTTTTGCCATCTATTGTTCCCAGCATTAGCCTCTTCTCCAGTGAGTCCTTCCTTCTCATTAGGTGGCCAAAGTATTTGAGTTTCATCTTCAGTATCTGGTCTTCTAAAGAGCAGTCAGGGTTAATCTCCTTTAAGACTGACTGGTTTGATCGCCTTGCGGTCCAAGGGACTCTTAGGAGTCTCCTCCAGCACCACAGTTCAAAGGCCTCAATCCTTCTGTGCTCAGCCTACCTTATGGTCCAGCTTTCACAGGCATACATTGCAACTGGGAAAACCATAGCCTTGACTATATGCACTTTTGTTGGCAGGGTGATGTCTCTGCTTTTTAGTATGCTGTCTAGATTTGCCATGGCTTTCCTCCCCAGGAGCAAGCGTCTTTTAATTTCTTGGCTGCAGTCCCCATCTGCGGTGATCTTGGAGCCCAGGAAAATGATATCTGTCACTACCACCATTTCTTCTGCATCTATTTGCCAGGAAGTGAGAGGACCAGATGCCATGATCTTAGTTTTCTTAATGTTGAGTTTCAAGCCAACTTTTGCACTCTCCTCCTTCACCCTCATCAAGAGGCTCTTTAGTTCCTCTTCACTTTCTGCCATTAGAGTGGTATCATCTGCATATCTGAGGTTGTTGATATTTCTCCCAACAATCTTAATTCCAACTGGTGATTCTTCTCGCCCCGCCTTTCTCATGATGTGCTCTGCATACAAGTTAAATAGGCAGGGCAACAGTATACAGCCTTGCCAAACTCCTTTCTCAATTTTGAACCAATCAGTGGTTCCGTGTCCAGTTCTCACTGTTGCTTCATGACCCGCATATAGGTTTCTCAAGAGACAAATAAGATGGTCTGGTACTCCCATCTCTTTAAGAACTTGCCACAATTTGTTGTGATCCACACAATCAAAGGCCTTAGCACAGTCAATGAAGCAGATGTTTTTCTGGAACTCCCTAGCTTTCTCCATGATCCAGCGTATGTTGGCAATTTGATCTCTAGTTCCTCTGCCTCTTTGAAATCCTGCCTGTACTTCTGGAAGTTCTCGGTCCACATACTGCTGGAGCCTAGCTTGTAGGATTTTGAGCATAACTTTGCTAGCATGTGAAATGAGTGCAATGGTGTGGTAGTTTGAACATCCTTTGGCATTGCCCTTCTTTGGGATCGGAATGTAAACTGACCTTTTCCAATCCTGTGGCCACTCTTGAGTTTTCCAAATTTGCTGGCATATTGAGTGTAGCACTTTTACTGCATTGTCTTTTAGGATTTTGAATAGCACAGCTGGAATACTGTCACCTCCACTGGCTTTGTTGTTGCTCAGACTTCATAAGGCCCATTTGACTTCACTTTCTAGGATGTCTGGCTCGAGCTCAGTGACCACCCCATCGTGGTTATCAGGAACGTTAATCTCTTTCTTGTATAGTTCCTCTGTGTAATCTTGCCACCTCTTCTTAATCTCTTCTACCTCTGTTAGGTCCCTGCCATTTTGGTCCTTTATCATGCCCATCTTTGCATGAAACGTTCCCTTCATATCTCCAATTTTCTTGAAGAGATATCTGGTCCTCCCTATTCTATTGTTTTCTTCTACTTCTTTGCACTGTTCATTTAAGAAGGCATTCTTATCTCTTCTAGCTATCCTCTGGAATTCTGCATTCAGTTGGGTGTACCTTTCTCTTTCTCCCTTGCCTTTTGCTCTCCTTCTTTCCTCAGCTATTTGTAAAGCTTCCTCAGACAGCCATTTTGCTTTCTTGCATTTCTTTTTCTTTGGGATGGTTTTAGTTGCTACCTCTTATACAATGTTGCTAACCTCCTCCATAGTTCTTCAGGCAATCTGTCTCTCAGATCTAATTCCTTAAATCTGTTTGTCACCTCTACTGTATATTCATCAGGGATATGATTTAGGTCATACCTGAGCAGCCTAGTGCTTTTCCCTACTTTCTTCAATTTAAGCCTAAATTTTGCAACAAGAAGCTCATGATCTGAGCCACAGTCAGTTCCTGGTCTAGTATTTACTGACTGTATAGAGCTTCTCCCTCTTTGGCTGCAGAGCACATAGTCAATCTGATTTCTGTGTTGACCGTCTGGTGATGTCTATGTGTAGAGTTGTCTCTTGGGTTGTTGGAAAAGAGTGTTTGCTATGCCCATCGTATTCTCTTGACAAAATTCTGCCAGCCTGTGCCCTGCTTCATTTTGTACTCCAAGGCCAAACTTGCCTGTTATTCCAGTTATCTTTTGGCTACCTACTTTAGCATTCCAATCCCCCATGATGATAAGGACATCATTTTTTGGTGTTAATTCTAGAAGGTGTTGTAGGCCTTCATAGAACTGTTCAACTTCAGCCTCTTCAGCACCAGTCGTTGGGGCACAGACTTGGACTATTGTGATGTTGAATGGTTTTCCTTGGATTTGAACTGAGATCATTCTGTCATTTTGGAGATTGTATCCCAGTACTGCTTTTCCTACTCTTTTATTGAGTATGAAGGCTACTCCATTTCTTCAGAGGGATTCTTGCCCGCAATAATATGCCTGATGGTCATCTGAATTAAATTCACCCATTCCCGTCCATTTTAGTTCACTGATTCCGAAGATGTCGATGTTCAGTCTTGTCATCTCTTGTTTGACCACATCCAGCTTGCCTTGATTCACGGATCTTACATTCCAGGTTCCTATGGAGTATAGATCTTTACAGCATCGGACTCTCCTTTCACCACTAGATACATCTGCAACTGAGTGTCCTTTCGGCTTTGACCCAGTCGCTTCATTCTTTCTGGCGCTACTAGTACTAGCCCTCTGCTCTTCCCCAGTAGCATATTGGACACCTTCCGACCTGAGGGGCTCATCTTTCGGCATCATATCTTTTTGCCTTTTGGTACTGTCCATGGGGTTTTCATGGCAAAGCTTCTGGAGTGGGTTCCCATTTCCTTCTCCAGCGGATCATGTTTTGTCAGAGCTCTCTGCTATGACCTGTCCGTCTTGGGTGGCCCTGCATCGCATAGCCCATAGCTTCATTGAGTGACATAAGCCCCTTCGCACGACAAGGCAGTGATCCATGAAGGAGGAGACACTTAGCTTTAGGCAAACTACGGAGGATTTTCTGTGCAGAACAAACAAGGGGCAGAGCTGTCACAGCCATTGTATACCCATGGAAAACATAGACTGTGCCATGCTGAAGTTATTTTCTTCTTCGCATGTGTGCATCTCTAAGTGATTGTGTATCTCTGTTTACTCTCCTATGAAGAAATGCATGGGCGTGGCCCTTTCCGGTTTCGGCCGCGGCCTGTCACGTGGCTTCGGGTGGCACCACTGGGCTTGTCCCCCTTCGTACTGGAATGATACGGCGCTGGGGATCACGTGGGGGCGTAATGCGCGGCCTGTGATTGGCGAGCGGCGCCGGAACGAGAGCGCAGAAGCGGCAGGCCCATTGGGAAGGTGGTGTTTCCTTTTGCAGCTCGGCTTCTGTGCTCGCTCTGAGGACCAGAGCCGAGTGAGGGAAGCCGGAGGCGGCGTGACCATGAGGCGAAGCTGGTGTCGCCGTTGCCGCGGCCCTGTATAGCCCGTCCTGAGCCCACCGCCGAAGACGGCCGTTTCTCTGTGCCGACATGGGAAACACCGTCACCTGCTGCATCTCTCCCGGCGCCAGCCCCAAGCTCGGCCGGGCCCGCAGGTCTGCGCTGGGGGCGGCGGCGGGCGGCGGTGGCGGCGGCGTGGGAGCCAGACCAGCGGCCGTGGGGCTCGAGCGGAGAGGCGGCGCCTATCGGGAGACCACTGAGGCTGAATCGGGGGACTCGGATCCTGGCGGGGGCGGCCCCCACCTGCAGCACATCAGTGACCGCGAATTCCCGGATGGTGAGTGAGGTGCTGCGGCTGATGCGCCGCCCCTGTGGCTGCCGCGAGTGGGACTGTGGAACGGGAAGTGGGAGTGTCTCCTTTTCCCCTTCTCCAGCTGACTTCCTCCGGTGTAAAATTAAATATTTTTTGCATACTGCTTTAGGAATCTGTCTTCCTGCACGTTACACACGAGAAATAAGTGCATACCTCTTGCTTAAAGCACTGCACGGTTTGTACCGTGGCTGTAACTTCCGTTATTCTGGAAGTCATCCAGTGTTATTCAGGAGGGCCAGTTGCACAGCAGGAACGCACGACTTATTCCCCACCCTCTGCTGAGGGATGACACGTGATGTTTGCCGTTGTGTGCAAGAGAATGCTAACATTGCTGTAAGGAGGGGGGTCTAGTTAGCTCAGCTGTGCTCCCATTAGTAAGATTAGCACCATAAGCTGAAACATCTGCAAATATGCACGTTATGAAAAAGAAAGTCACTCATTTATAGAAAAAGAAATCGTAGACCAAGTTGATCAAACTGAATGAGAACAATCCTTTATAGTATGGGAATCAGTGTGCTCCTTCCCACCCATCTGAGCAAGAGATGCTAGTATTGATCTATTGTTCTACTGTAATTTTCTATTTTATATTAGCTTGGTCAAGATGATGCTTTAATTCAAGGGTAGGTATATAGCCATCCAGGTTTAAAATTGCCTGGGAGTCTTAGCTGTGCCCCACTAATGATCAGGCACAGCAGGGGTCCTCAGGCAGCACTTCCCAATCTTTCTTTCTGAATCCATCGTTGAGGTATCCTAGGGAACACTGCAAGAGCACTGAGGGGGCTTGAGCTGACATCTGCCAAAAGTGAACACTTCCCTGCCCTGTGCCCCTGCCCGTGCTGTCCGTGTGAGTCTCCTCTTTTGGAAAGGAGGCAGAGGAAGAGCACCTCTTAGCCATCATGCTGACTGGTATAGGAGAGGGGAGGTACTTGCTCATGCAGGAAGCATGAACTATCTTGCACTGGGAGGCTTGTGCCCTCCTTGCCTGGCAGAGCTGGCACTCACAGAGTGTTGGCTTGGCAGAAAGACAAGAAAGGACAAGCTGCCCCTCTCAATCAGCAGGGGTGGCAATGAGCACTAGCTGCACTGGTGATGAGATGTTAGGAGAGGCTTCCTCCCTGTGCCCCCTCCCCATTCAGGGAAATGGAGTTGGAGGTGCAGAGTGACTTGTTCCTGCATACAATGGTGGGTGGGATCCAGCTACTTGGCCTTGCATCCCTTCAAGGAAATGAGACCAAGCAGCTAGTTTCTCCTCCACAGTGTATTGTATTGCCAAGCCCCAGCGGAAGTGTTGAGAAGGTGGCACTCAGTGGAACCTGGAGGCTTTTCCCCCATGCTGCTGCCACTGCTGGAAGGAGAGCAGCCTGTTCACAAGGAGTCCCAATTTCCCCCTCATATCAGCAGGAGTACAGGAAAAATCAATGACAAAGCACCCTTTTTTGATCCTCTAAGAAGCTCTTTAGCCTTTTGGCTAGACTATGGCTTAATATGTCATCTGCATTCAGATGACATGCTAAACCACAGAGGGGTTCCTAACCCCCCCCCATGGTTAGTTGGGATGGTATATGAGTCACCCTGGAGTGACTTAACAAACCCTCCTTCAGCAAGTAAGGGGGTTCAGACAACACACTAAGCCACTCCCTCAGTGGCTTAGCATGTTCTGTGAACCCCATGATTGAATGCATTGGCACTGACACTTCACTGTTGTCTCTACTGCTGTGTGGCCTCATATTTCTCTGTGGTTTGCAATTGAGCAGTGGTAATTTGCCATTAAATTACTGCTGCAAGGTCAGTTAGTAACTTGCTGCTGTTTTAAGTAGTTGGGTTACAGGTTCTCTTTGAAAGCTTGAATTAATGTGAGGGCAGCTACATTGTCTTTTCAGCATAAGTCTAAAACTGAGAAGAGATAGTTTAATTCCTAGTGAAGCAGGGGTGTGAAATGGTACCAAAATGAAGTGTTTCAAAGTTAATGGGAAAGTAAGCTAACTGGTTTTGGAAGAAAATGGGCATGAGTCTGCAGATGTGAAATACTGGTTATAAAAATGCCTGTCAAAAAATGAAAACATGGAGAAGGATGTCCATAAACTCTTTGCCTGTGTTATGCCTTGCTGTTCATTTGGCAGTTAACAAAGTGCAGGAGAACCAGAGTGGCCTCAGCCCCTTCCCTCTTAAGACCACTGTGAGAGGAGTTAATATGGCTAACATTGTTGGATGTTTGCCCATTCCCTTTTAATTCAAACATAGCTAGCAGCTAGCTATGTGTTGTGTCTTTCTAAGCAGCAGCGACTATTTATCATCTTTTTAATTGAGATTGTATGCTGTTTCTTAAATAGCCCTCCTTTCCATTTGAGACTATTTAGGAAAGAAGGCAGCAACTCTTAATTGCACCCAGAACACACAAGCTCTGGGTTATGATCATTTGTTCTTCCCATTCCCCAAGCAGTCTTCTGGAGAGTTGAAATCCAGCTTCAGGGTTAGCATTTGTTCTTCATGATTCAGTATATGTTGCATTAATATCACTTGAATATTTACACATTTTTTTAGCTATGTAACGTGACCTGGCCCTTGGCATGGGGCACAAGATTAAACCTTGCTCTATGGCAGTAATCTGAACATCACTGGTGAATAATTTTAGGGAGTGATCTTTCCCATATTATCTTTGTGTAGATGTTATTACTCTGACAATGCATATTTGAACTGAATTGAAGTTGTGCAGCTGTGTGAAAAAGGGCTTCACATCTCAACCAATGGATCTGGACACCTCCTGGTGACATTTAAGCAGCATAAATTTTCCAAATAAACAGTTATATTCCATCTCAAATGTGTACAGCATAGACATGTCCCAGAAATTAAGAGGGTTGGATCCTAACTTAGTTCTGCTTAGAGTAGACTCCACTGAAATCAAAGGGATATGTAAGTCATGACCAAACTCATCCCCATTGGTTTCATTGGTTCTTCTGTAAGGATGATGAAGTTTAGATTCAACATGTATTTCTTGGTATACAAACTTAGTATACAGTGGTACCTTTGCTCATGAACTTAATCTGTTCCAGGACTCCGGTTGTGACCCAAATTGGTTGTGAGCCAAGTTAAATTTCCCCATAAGGTTCAATGTAAATAAGGTTAATCCGTTCTGTAACTATTTTTTTTAATAAGAAAAAAGGTGAAGCAAAGTGACAACAACAAAGATCGCGGCCATCTCCCCCCCACACACACCCCAAACACGAGCCCTGCCATCTCCCCGCCTCCGCATCACAACCGTGATCGCGCCCGTCATCCCTGCATAGCTATAAGTCATATCTGGTTATGAGGATTGTTCCACAAACTGCTACACTTGAGGAAAAATTATGGTTATCAGGAGAAGTCTGAGTGACGTAAACACTGTATTTTCTATGTATTTATCAGAAGGAAGGAAAAGGGTGGTGGAACAAGGGGATTCTGAAGGCTGAACAAAGTATGACACCGTTATGACTGGACAAAGGCAAGCTGTATTCAAACCAACAGGAAGTTGAGTTCCAGCACTAAAGTTTCAGCAACCCACCTCCACCCAGCTTTTGTTCCATGCAGGTTTCTCACTCAAGATTGGATTATGTGGATTATGTTTCATTCCAGAAACAAGAGAATAGTAAGAATTCTGTATGTCCCTATAAAGGGTACTTAACGGAACAAAACATAGTCACCAATAATATTCAGGACTGTAGAAAACTCTGCAGAGTAAAAATTAAAGTAAAAACTTTTTAGGTGCCACAGTAATTGTAGGAAAACAGATGAAACACATCCTAAAAGTGGCAGCAATAAAAACATTCATATAAATGAACAGTAAGAACTGTGGTATAGTATTTTAGCCATAGGAAAGCATTTCCTTTGTTGTGTAATTCTAACATTAAAATTCACAAACGTATGAACCTATGAAACAGTATTATGACAGAGAAAGGAAAGGTGAATGGAACACTTCAAAGTTACCTCCAAAGGGTTCAGAAGGCATGGTGATTATTTATGGAGCTTTGGCCTGTCTTGGGCCTCTCAGCAGCTTTCAGCACCATCATCCATAATATCCTTCTGGATTAGTTGTCTGAAATGGGGCACCATTTTAGAGAAGTACCATTCCTGCTTGGGTGGTCATTTCTAGAAGGTAGTGCAGGGGGATTACTTTATTTTATGGCTATTATTCTTGCAGAACTTAATTTTATCCTCAGTACTATGTAACATCTGCATACAACCACTTGGAGAGGTTATTCTGAGATTTGGGCTAAAGTCTGAGATTTATAGATGACACTCAGCTTTCATTTCCTAGTTAACTAACTCATGAGAGGCAGTGTATGCCCTGAAGTTCAATCCAGACAGGACAAAGCTAGTGTAAATAGGTGGTTCATACAACCTGTTAAGTGGTTGTTCAACCTAATATGATGGAGCTGCACTCCTCCTGAAATACCAGCTGCACCATTTCTCGGTGTTCCTGCATCTATCATTACTGGGGACATAGATGTTTTTTGTGCCTAGGAAGCCTTTTATCAGCATATACCAGTTGGCAACCCTATCTGAACAGAGTTAGCCTGGTAACAGTTATCCATGCTCTGATAACTTCCTTGTTGGATTACAGCAATGGGTTTCATGTGGAGGTACCTTTGAAGGTGGCTCAGAAACTTCAAAATAGAGCTGCTAGGTTGCTAAGGGACTGGTTAATATGATGCCGGTACATATCAGCTGTGTTGGCTTCCAGACCATTTCTGAGCCCCAATTCAGAATGTTATTGTCATTTCTGAATGATTTATTGTACAATATCTTTAAGGAACATCTTATATGCACCTGCTTTGAAACCGTAGGCCATCTTCACAGGCTTTCTTCTAGATGCTGAAGAATGTTGGTTGGGTGATTTCAGGAGAGGACCTTCTCAGATATAGTGCCCTTTTTCTGGAATGCCTTCCAAAAGGAGCTTTGCTTAGCATTTACACTATTCTTTTTGGTGC